TGTCTATGACCACGATATTCCTGTATTAAGGGACAAACAGGAGACATAAATAAGATACTGTTCTATGATCTTACAGAATTACAATAATGAATAAACTAGAAGAATCCTTGGAAAAAATTACTCTGATACATAGTGATTTTCTCTCTTGAAAATCTCCTTAGTTACTTTAAATGGATCCTTTCTCCTATTATAGTTTAAGCCAGTGTAGAATTTGGTAGCTTGCTTAAATATCTGCCCAAAACTTAAAAACTTGCCATTGTTGTATGGGTATCCTAGTATATGTGCAGTACACACAGAGGTCATAAGGGTTTTATTACCATAATGGTTATAGACAAACAAAATACCCGAAATTCATGTAGCAAGTTCCTAATTCCAGCCCAGTTTCCAAGTACTGTTTCACCTTTTTTGTTGAGCCACAACAGTTTTCTTTCTTAAAGCAGTTGATATACTGCAAAACCCAGTGACTTCTAGCACAAGAAAGTCTTTGGGTGGCCAGTTATGGATTCAACCTCCAAGACAGGTCTACATGAAACGGATGCATAGAAATGGTTATTTATAAATAAGACATCAGTAGTAATTAGAACCACATCAATGGAAATAAGCCTCATCCCAACAGAGAGGTTTGTGACCAACTAACTCATGTTCCTGCTTTTGTTGCCCTTTTCCAAGTAATTGGAACGCCCTGCTTGCCTGTGGGATTCAGTTTTTGGGTTTCAGAATTTTCTTGGGTTGAGGGTGGGTATTTTGGGGGGGGGGGTACAGTGTGTCTAGATGTTATTTAAATGTTGCTTACTATAATATGATAGCTTTCCTGGACCCAGAATATTAATCTAAGTGCTCAGAAAAAGAATGTTCAACTTGTCCCATAGTCTCAGATTGTTCAAACACCTATGTGGAAATAACATACAGCAATAATATACAATATTTGTGTAAAAAAAAAAGTTTGTCCCATTCTTCAAAAGAATTTACTTTTAAAATGAGGGTTGTCTTAGACAGTGGTGTCCACAACCAAGCACAGTAGCGATTTGCATGCAGTAGTGTCATTATACAAGTCCCATCCTTGCATACTTGATATCTGATACAAGTATGTAAGTGGTGGCATTTGCTTAATGACATTGCCAGGCATGTTTTGTCACTGGTTCCCCTTGCCCTCCCACAGATTCACTGAGAATGCAGTAAAAGAGGGTTATAATTTTTTCTTGGAGGGCAGCTTTTATGTAGAAACACCTTTTTCTGGTTAAATATAGCATAATACACATAATTTGTTCTTCCAATAAGCTGTGGCTTCTCCTTTTTCTATACAAAAATATATATTTAACTAGAACTAGATATTCCCTCATCAAGAAGCAAGAATTTACATGAAACTACATGAATAATGTAATGCTGATTGGTGTAAATGTCTATATAGTCATAGAGAGAAAATTGTTTTCTGAAGGTCTGATGACCATTTAATCTGCTAAAGAGGGTTCTTACTGAATCACAGTATGGTTTATTGTCATTCCAAACCATACATCCTCATGTATCAGTTCAAACTAATGGGAGGATGAATGATGCTGAGCAATTCTTCCAGTTACATGGTGGTGAAGACAGATGGATATGATTAGGGGCAAGTATGCAACGGAAGAAAATCTAGGAAAGTAACAATAAAAAGGCTATAGTGACTATTAGGAATTAATTTGAAGCACGCTTTTGATTGGTACAGATTATATAACATATCACCCTGACATATCCTGTATAGAACTCTACTTTTTTCTCTGATATCTCATTTAAAATCTTCCTGTTTCCTAGAACCGAAGCTATAAACCCTTTTAAAGAAGAATCTGAAATCCTGCAGAGCAGACATTACAAATCAACATTAAGAGCCTTTATATTTAAATTAGACATAATCTTGGGTGCAGTGTGGAGAACTAATGCTGGGTGTGGCTCTTGAAAAAAGCTGCAATTTCCCCAGCTATTTTCACTGTTGTCCCTGATTGTCACCAGCCACAAATTCCAGTGAATTTACTGAGCCACAGGGTATAATTTCCATCATGTGTAAGGAGTTACAGCTCCACCAAACCTCCCCTTTGGAGGGGCTGCTGATCGTCTGTCAGCTGGGCATTGTTACATTTAGATCGTGAGCAATCTGTATTGATTTCTTGCTACTAATGTGAGATGGGTGGGGCAGGCTAAGGGACAAAGACATTATGATTAGCGTTACTGTCCCATTGATAAAAAATCAAAGGTGGGACCTTATGGCATTAACTTCCTTTTTATAGTTTTTCTTTTCTTTTTTCTTTCTTCTCTGAACCACACAGAGTTCACAGAGGCATTTTAGCATTAAAATAACCCTCATGAGGTGTCAAGACTGTAACCTTTGCTAAAAATTGCTCTGAAAGAGAATTTGACAGCTGACTAAGATTAGAATTCAGGACTAGACCCCTGGATAGTAGGCACTAATTGACACTGATAAACGAATGTATACTGAGTGCATCTTATTTCAATGCTAGATCTTGAAAAAAGGGCATCTTTCTTAACACAATCATAAGACTGACAGGTCATGGTAGTGTAACAGCCTATTGCTGCTATGTTATTAGTAAGTATAAAAACATTAAAAAATATTATTGTATTTTTAAATGTTTTTATACTTTATTCAATTTTTTTGTTCAGTTTTGTTTCAATTCTGTACAGTACCTAGATTTACATTATATCAAAGGCAATATAAGAGGTTCCAAGGCTAACAATTCTTGTCATGCAATTTGTCTATTTCTAAATCCTGGCATGAGGATGTCAAACGTATACTGTTGCTCCCATAACAGGTGTCACAAAGTACATTGTCTCATGTCAGCTAAAGTTAGTTGTAATTAAATCTGCAGTGCTTTCCTCAGTTACTTAAAGATGGAATGGAGCAAACAAATTATTCCAGTGAAAGTCCTTGTGCTCAAGTTTGTTATCACTAGCTTGCTCCACTGGCTTCAGTAGAATTTGTAGAGCAATTTTATTAGCCTTTGTACAAATCTTCTCTAGAGCATGAACAAAGGACTTCACATTATTAATGCACATGGGCCATTTTCCAGGTTTGCGTGGCAGTTTTGGAAGCTACTCTCAGCTGTCTGCACACACACATCTTTTTCCAGACAGCTGCATAAGGCAGGAAGGAGATGCATGTGCTTCAACAATTCAAAGAAAGGTGCTTCATTTCTGTACCCATGCTTTGTAAAGCACCTCTTTCAAAGGATTTGCATAAGCATAAATTTTGTGCATTTTACTTCAGAGTAAATCCCACTTTGTTTAATAATGTTATGGGCAAATAGCTTTACACCTGACTTACTCTTAGCTATTCTTAATTCTCAGTAAGTCCATTTTTGAACATTCAGTTATTCTACCACTTTCAAGATGTTATATAAAAGGAAGGGGTAGCATTTTCCCCATTGGCCAGCTGAAGGGAATATTGATCATCTTAATAATGGGAAAATGGGGTTACTTGTAAGCAAAAATGTTCAGGGGTAAAGTGGAACAGGTTTAAGTATTCTAACACAACGTAATGTCTCAGTGAAAGAGGAGCTAGAGGGTTACAAAAATTGTGACATATTTATTGGCCTGCTTACTCAGTCAGGATTTCTGATCATAACATTCCTTTGTTGCTTTAAAATAAAGTGTCACAAGCTAAATATCTGTGACTATTCAAGTGCACCTACAAGGATCACACATACTTTGGCTTCCTTATCTATTTCAGTAGAGATCCAATCTTTTTCCATATGCCTTTTCAAGTTTGGATCTGATGTCTGGATAGCAAAACTACTCTTTCCCTGGAATTCTTCTGAATAATAACAATAATCATCCTTTATCAAACTTGTGCCTTCAAGTACATTGGATTGGACTTTCACTTCCAGAATACAGCCAGCATAGCCAGTGGTGGCTGGGAATTATGGGGAGTACATCTGGGGATCAAGTTGAGGAAGGCTATGTTAAGCCATTGCTGAGTAAGAAACTTTCCATAGCTGCGTCAATCTAGTCTCCTCCTTGGAAGACCAAGCCCATTAACTCTTGGCTCAGCTCCTGCTTCAGAGGAAATTCTGCAGAGCTTTGCAGTATCTCTTCTGGAGCTGCAAGGTGATCAGTTTCTCTTTGGTAGGGATTCCTGCCTGGCCTCACCTCATGGGATTTCACTTTTTCTGCCAGGTGTTAAGTTCTCTCCGTCCAGCATCTGATGTTCTCCACAATCACACAGCTTTACCATTGAACCATTTACATTAGCAATTCAAGTCTTTTGAAACTTCCTTTTTTCTGCCACAAAAGAACTTATAGCAAGGAAAGGAAGGGGCAGCATTTTCCCCATTGGCCAGCTGAAGGGAATATTGATCATCTTATTAATGGGAAAATGGGGTTACTTGTAAGCAAAAATGTTCAGGGGTAAAGTGGAACAGGTTTAAGTATCCCAACACTATTGTTTGTCACCTGATGCATATGTGGCTAGAGATAATAAAAGGAATAAATTCTTATGATAGCTTATTTGTTTTTGCTGTCAGATTAGAGTGTGCGAACTATATTTATGCTTATATGAACTATTTGTTTCTAAGACGGGGGAGGCATCAGATGGCTTTCTGTTAGTTAATATATTACCTATGACTGTTTTCTTTCTTAGTTGTTTTATTACAAAGGAGAAGTTCTGAAAAATAAAAAGAAGTGCATCCTCCTTTGAAATTGGTCTCAGCATCCCATTGTAGATATAGGAAAGAAGGACCCTTGGCAGTTAAGTAATAGTAGTCAAAGTATTACAGGCATTGGCCAATTCAAAAGCAAAAAGAAAATCCTGAGACAGCAAATTTGGCAATCTTTTTTTTTTTTTTCTTACATGAGGAAGAAGTTAAGCTAGTTCTGTCAGGACCTTTATTTAAAATCACTTCCATCTTTTAATATCCCTCTCACAAAGTGAGCAGTGAGTACAGCTACTGAGCAGAGAATAGATACCTGTTATTTCAACTGTTGTTATAATAAAACAATTTCTAATTTCTTCCCAGGACGGAGTCTGTAGCTGAGAAGATGCTGACTAATTGGTTTGCTTTCTTACTCCACAAATTCCTAAAGGTAAAGAACCATTTGCTTTAACCTTGATTCCATTTTCTTTGTTCCATATTTTTTGTGTTTGTTGATTATTATCTTTCAAGAGGATGATGGAAATCCAACCAGAGACTGGAAATAATGATATGTAAAACAATCAATGTTTCATTTTTAAAGCTGCCTTTTAGTTGGTTTACTATTAATACTAATTAGTAGAGTATACTACTAGCAGAGTATCTGATATGCTGTTCCTCAAGCACTTGCTCAGTGAACTGAACGATAAATGGGTTTAGGTACATAAGACCGCCTCATAGGATTATGTATTTCCAGAATAAATAAGATTTTAAAAATCCATGTTTCCTTCCTCTTCTCTTTTAAATGTTACCAGAAAAAAAAAAAGGTGAATTGTCTGAATGGCTTGATTAAAAAAAATAAAAACCTGAAGTATAACTTTAACATTTAGATAGTTTTTCTTAAATAAATTATTTATTGATGTGTAAATTCTATTCTCTTCTTTATCAACCAGGAATGTGCTGGAGAACCACTTTTCATGTTGTACTGCGCCATCAAGCAACAGATGGAGAAAGGCCCAATTGATGCTATTACGGGAGAAGCACGTTATTCTCTGAGTGAGGACAAGCTGATCAGGCAGCAGATTGAGTATAAAACACTAGTGAGTTGGTGTCTCCTCTGATCAGTTTATGCTAGCATCACCTGTTGTTCATCATGTGAAACACAGAAAGTGTTCATTCCTTGGATCCAGTTACGTATTAAGCCAAGAATCTACATGGTGCCTCTTAGAGTCTCTGATAGTGGATCTTTCTCATGAGGAAACATTATATATGGCAGTTTAAAGCACACATAAAAACAGAGCGGCTTTCTTAAAACAGACAAGGAGGGAATGTTTTCCTGAGCATCTCCATGAATAAAGCCAGGTCTGATACTTTGAGGCTTTATTTTCAATAGTGAAACCCAACATTCCTAATTGTCAAGAGTTTTTACTTCTGTTTCATAGGTTTTATTTGCTGTTTTTATGTATAACTGAAATTTGAAACTAACTTCCCAAAGTATTGTGTATTTCCCTTCATATAAGCAGATTTTATCCACATTTGGAAAATATATAGGCACACCCTACTGTATTTATATATATTTAGCAAATTCTATGAAGTTTATATCCTCCTACTTCCACATCAAGAGTCTTTTATCTGAAATAAGCAATTATTTTCCCAATCTAATTAACACTACATTTAACAGTCTAGATTTTCTTGTTGGAGCTACACAGTGTAAAATATTTCCAGCTTTTGGTGAACATCTCTGTGATTAAATGCAGATGGTTTCTTCCTGGCTTTTCCAAGTTCATCTTACTATTTTAATTACTTTGCTTTTTTAGATCTTAAATTGTGTGAATCCTGATAATGAAAATAGTCCTGAGATTCCTGTGAAGGTGCTGAACTGTGATACTATCACACAAGTCAAGGAGAAGATTCTTGATGCAGTATATAAAAATGTCCCATACTCACAAAGGCCACGAGCTGTTGACATGGACTTGGGTAGGAATCTCTTTGTTTTGTGATAGCAGAGAAATATACATATAAGTGGGTTTGGGTTCTGTGTATGAAGGGATCACAATATTTAAGGATAAAAAATATAGTTGTCCTTATTGGAGTAAGATCACTGAGGTATGGTCCAGTGCTCATACTGTTCCCAAAATATATCAATGTTGGATTGATTTGGGTACACGCTATATAAGAGAATAATTGCATAGGGCACAACTGATCCTCATATTATTCTAAACTAAACATGCAAGGTCTTAGTGTGGATTGGAAGCAATTGGAAAGGGCTAATCCCCAGTCTTGTCATCTGATTCACTTCATCTTATATATGAAAAAGAATAAGCTCAGTTGACAATAATGGAGGGTTTCTATTAAAAAAAATAAACAAATTGTGAGATGAATTTTGGAACTGAACAGTTTGGAGGAAAGGTTTTACCCTCCCCAGCCCACAATGCATGATTCTGATTGTGTGTTTAATATGTAACAAGAATAGAATCAGCTGTAAACAGTGTAATTAATGTATATGTATCTGACTATTCTTATGCTGTCTAATTCTTCAAGTTCCCCTCAGAAGTTCTTTGTATTGATGGGAAAATACAACAGATTGTCTGCAATGTGCTCCTGAAATATTGGGGTCAGTCTCCTCAGTTCCATCTGTTTGGAGCCAGCAAGCATCAACTGCAGTTGTGCAGGAGTAAACAGCTGTTGAATATCATTTCTTCTCACTTTTTCTGGGAAAGATCAGCATTTTGAGACTCTTCGCCTCCCACTGAGATTCTTCTTCTGATTTGATTCATGATAGGCTTCTGATTTGATTCATGGGTATGCTGTTACTCTCTCTCTGTAGAGTGGCGCCAAGGCCGAATAGCACGTGTAGTACTTCAGGATGAAGACATCACAACCAAGATTGAGGGTGACTGGAAGCGGTTAAACACATTGATTCATTATCAGGTAAGCAAAGAAAACTAGCATGCAGGCCACAGAAATCAGCTGAGTGGACAAAGTGGGAGAAAATACCTGAAATCTAATTCCTCAGCAACTCTTCTAATCAGACAGGCAGTGAGAAGCATATTTAGATGATAAATCAGAATGGTTCAGCATGTTCACATATTAAAAAGGAAAACAGCCCTGACGCACATCTCACAGAAGCAAGCAGAGCTGAAAATTGAGTAAATTAAAAATGTCAGCTATGTTCCTCAGACAGACAGCGTATGCAGATGAGCTAAAGTTCCCAGCTCTAAGGTCACAGAGGCCCATGCAAATAGTTGCAATGTCAAAAATGCAAGACTAGGTTGTGAAGGAGGAACATAGTACCGCAGTGAGAGTAAGAGAAAGCAATAGTCAAAAACATCTCAGGCTATCAAGCTGCATGTGCAATTGATTTTCCACTAGCCCACCTAGAAAGCTGTATTATAACTGGTTTTAGGAAGATTGGCTTGTTTGATATGGCACTGTCTCCATACTGTGAAGATCTGTGACTTTCACCTGTTCATTTTGGATATAACCCCATTTGCAATATAACATACAAATTCTGACTTTCTGATTAATCAAGCAATGACTATGACATCTCAAAAGGGATTAGTGGTGGTATGTTGCCAATCTCTTAGTATGAATATCAGCCAAGGCCATCTGCTTGCTCAAGTCTGGAGTATACCTGTAGTCACCCTTGATGAACAGCATTCCAAAAAGTAGATATGGCCCCTACCAGAAATCCTAAGTATGTTATCATTTTTATGAGTGAACCTTTTATTCATATCCATTTAGTCTCCTACTTATTAACTTTTAAAAGGGTAAAAAAGAGTGGGAGATTGACTGTTGTTCAGCCTTGTGTTTAGAATTGAATGCAGGGACAATATGTGATTTTTCTAAAGTCTGGTTATACAGGAGACCATACTTAGGAAATTATTAGTTCTGTTTGAACATAAATACTGTGTATCTATTGATTCTTCTGAATGCAGTATCCTCTAAGTAGAACAATTTAATTACGATTTGGTCCTTTAGGAAATTTTAGTTAAACTCATAACTATACATGAGCTCCCAGGTCAAGTTATATATGTTTTCAATTTAGCTCTTATCCCATGAAGATATCTATTTGCCTACCTTAAGAATAAACACTCACATGGAAGATAGGAAATACATCTCAATTGCCAGATAAATTAATTGAATTTGAGCATCAGAAATGTTATTTGGCCACCTTTAACCTACAGCATAAGCCCCCTTGACCTTCACATGATCCAGGATGAAGGAATCTTAACAAAATTACCAATTAACAAAAAATTGTCCTCTTGACCCTCCTTCTGAGATTGTGCAGCTGCTTTTGATACCAAACACAATGACTGTATGTTAATGTTCAGAGTAAGAAAGATTACTTTAATGAAGATATGCAGGAACTGTTGCCTAGACAAAAGGGACTGAAACATTTTTTTTAAGCCCAGAGTAACAAGATAAACTTTGGAAATGTCTCAAGCAGGTGCTTCCCTAATTCACTGAACTATAAGATGGAGGAGGAGGTACAGCACAATCAGGTTTGCAAGATTTTGTTATTATAGCCAGTCTCAATAAAGGTAGTTTTCACTTTCCTGTGGTGTTGATTCCTGGTCTGGTCTACCTAACGAAGGCAGTTAGGCATGAATGCAGAAAAAAACTGATGTGTAGACTTCTATACATGTAGACTTTCTCTGATTTGGATTTTTGCACAGGGTTCTGCATGTAGGGTTTCTTTCTGCTGACATCCATGCTCAATACATGGACACTGGGGGAGGGTGGAACATGAGCCACACAATTCTCCTCCCATATAAAGAACCTGGCATGCATCTATGACAAAGGCTTGCTACTCATGAAAAAAAAAAGGATTAAAAAGATCTAAAGTCATTGTGAAGTTAAACTCATCCTGAACTACAGTATTCCTATTCCTATTCATTCCCATAATTACTTTGCTCTATTCCTCCTAATGCACTTTGCCTCTTGGGATTCATCTAGGTAGTATGTGGCAGGAAAGTTGCATTTTCAGGGTTAGAAAGTAAGTTGCAAACATCCCTCTTTCAACAGAAACATGTATTATCCATGTCTACATAGCAGTGAAGTGATAGTCATGCTGATTTTAAATTAAATAATATGAAAGCCCAGGCAAGCACATGGTAATCTGTTATAAATTTTTAAAGTCAACATTGTCAAACCTGTGTCATCCAATAGGGTGAATGATTACTGAATTCTTCTTATGCATTGTCATGAATTTTACCATAAATATAATGAAGCAAATCACCCTGTTGTTATAAAAAAGCACTCATGTAAATCCAGTGCAGTCCTTAACCATCTTTGTTCAGAACACATCCAACCAAGTTAAATGAAGAACCAGCACTTAAGACTTCAACCTAAGCACCTTTCCTATTTTAGGAAAGATACATTTTTCTTACTTAGCTTTTATGATTGTTCTCTGGTCAGTTTTGTGCCCATTACAAGGATATGTGGGACCCCAGAAACTCTTGATGTCACATCAAGTTTATTTATATTCAGTCAGCAGATAACTGAGACAGTTTCTTACCCAACTCCTGGCCACTTTTGCAATCCTAGCAATTCATTACTTGATAAATTCATTTCCCCAAGGATTCAGTGTTGTAACATGCACAAATCACATTGTGCAAGAAGAATTGTGTGGCAGAAGAATGTAATGAATTTTCAATTGCAGGTACCGATTAGGGTGAAGCAAAGAATACACAGAGCTCAGAAAGTAGATTTAACCCTTGTTGTAATAAGGTGAGCCCATCATTGAGCTAACTGGGAATATTTGAAGGTTAAGGAAAGAACTAGATGTTGGAGATCACTGATCATGCTACAACTATTTTCAAACTGAAAGCCATCTAGTTAAGATCTGCCCTAAAAAAATAGAAGAAACAGGCCTGAAAGATAGCTTATCAAGTTTTAAAATGAGACCCAGGAAGACTTGAGCTGGTCATCTCAACGTTTCCTCCAAGCAAATTAGTAGAAACAGTAATAAAAGAAAACTAAGCATGTAATAGAATAAGCCTTGCTGAAGGAAAATCAGCAGGAATTATGAAAAAGTAAACCCTGGCTCACCAACCTTTCAGAGTTTTCTGAGAGGGTCAACTGCCCATAGATGGAGGTGATCCTATTGATGTTGTACACTTGAACTTTCAAAAAGCCTTTGACAAAGTTGCTCTTCCAAGGCTACTGAATAAACTGAACTGTCATGGGATTAAAGGACCTGCCTGTCCTTTTATGGATTGCTAACTGATTAAAAAACAGAAAGCAAAAGGTAGGAATAAATCAACAATTTTCTTAATGGGAAGAAGAAATGGAGTCTCTCTAGGATTTGTACTGGGACTGATGTTTTTTAAGTTGTTCATAAACATCCTTGAAATAGGGGTAAGCAATGAGCTGGTTAAATGATAACAAACTATCTAGAGTGATGAAAATCAAATGTCATTATGAAAAGCTCCAGACTGATCTCTCTAATCTGTGGAAATGGCACACACAGGTCAATTTAATGTGCAACATGATCCACATTGGAGCAAAAGCCTAACTTCACATATACTTTGATGGGATCTGAGTTGTCTGTAAACTAAAATCTCCTATATTTAGATATATATCCCACCTTTTTTACAAGCTTAAGTGGGAATTTCCCTTCATTTTGCTTATAATGTAAAATTGGACTAAGAGAAACTATCACTAATCCAAAGTCTTCTAGTGATTTTCCATGGTGAGTATAATTCAACACCTTAAACATTATGCCACATTGGAGCTCTAGTGATAATTCAATGGAGATGTCAGCCTAGTAGGTGATGACTTTGAAAAGATAAAATCTGTACTAGGGAGCATTAGGAAATCATTGAAAATAAAACTGCCAACATTGTAATGCCCTTATGTTACTTTTACCTCTATAATACTGTCTTCAATTCTAGTTATTGTATTTGAAAAGGGATATAATAGAGTTACAAAAAGTGCAGAAGATGCAACTAAGATGATGGGGAACACTTTCCTTAAAAGAAAAGGCTTGAATGAAAGGGATTGGGAAAAAATTGACTTCAGGGAAATATGATTGAGAGATATAAAACATGTCTGCTGTGGAGAAAGTGCTCAGGAAGAAGTATTCTCCCACTCAAATCAGTAGGAGCAGGGGTCATCCAACAAAGCTCATTGGTATAGGAACAGATAAAGGAACAGATAGGAACAGATAAAAGAAAATACCTCGTCACATAGTGCATAATTAACTCTGGAATTTATTACTGCAAGATGTGATGATGGCCACTAGCTCAGATGGCTTTACAGGAAGACTGGATAAATTTGTAGAGGTCAGCCTCCCAAGACCTATTAATCTTGGAGAGTCGAGGTTATCTCTAGATAAGGGACACCATGCCTCCAAATTCCACTTGCAGGCAAACAAGGGCAGAAAATGAATACGTCTCCATCTCCTGTTTGAGAGCACCCCAGAGTGATGTGGTTGGCTGCTGGGAGAAACAAAATGCTGGACTAAGATATGCAGAGGCATCTATTTAGTACTAGTTGCCTAGAGCTTGTATTGTAGAGATGCTAGTATTTTCCTATGCTCCTAGTTTGCCCTTTACATTAATCAGACTGTTGCCCCAGCTGACAGTAATAGCTGTTTCCATTTCATGAGAATGAAAAAGAAATAATTTGCTGCTAAATGTGCACAATCCATTCTTAACATATACTAGATCATTTATCAGCTCAGCTCAAAGTTGTTTAAGCTGCAGGGAGCACCTAGTTTTTCTTGAATAGAAATCTTATCCAAGTGACTCTTGAACACACACTAGTCACAAGTTATTAGTGATTTTAAAAAATGAGTTATCCAAAGTGTAGAACTTCAGAATAATATAATAAATGCTGATGTTTGTTATCTAATGCTCAGCCAAGATAATTTGTTTTACTGTAATTAATAATGACCCTAGAACTTCAGTCTGGTGATTATTTGTAACCAAGGGATACTTTTTCTTAGAAAGGCTAGGTGTATGGTCTGAGATAGTAGGTGTGACTAAAAGTGTGTTGTATCCATTTTTGTTCAGTGGCTAGCTATAGCATGATACACAGTAACATTTAAATAGATTCACACTTTATGGGGGTCAGCTTTTGAATCTTTAGTTCAGTATCACAAGAGTATATGAACCAATAGAAATGTATTACATCATGCTTAGAAGAGAAAAGCCCATGTACCTCTCCCCCCTCCCCACCCCACAGACATACAAAATGTACAGCTTTTCAGATAGCAGTTTTCTTCATTAGCCCTATGTCAGCCCTATGAGGTAGACCAGATCAGGTAACCGACTCCACAGGAAGATTAGAACTATACTTTATGTAGGTAATCTATAATAACAGAATATTGCAAACCTGAATACAAATCCCCTCCCTCTTATACCCCAAGGAGAAGCCTGCCTGAGTCTCTTCCAAATACTATCTTCCTTCCCAGGACTTAATTTATGTTTCAGCTGCTTTTGTTCATGCAATGGTTCTTGCCTATTTCCCTCAAGGTCATTTTCCTGACTCTACACCCTACACCCATCCTTTTACTTTTCTGTTATGCTTTTGATTTTCAGGATCAGAGGATGAGCTAGAATGTTTAATTCAGGCATGTAATTTTGCCCCTTGAAACCAAAGGCACAGCATAATATAACTAAGCATAAAATGTTATCCCTGTACTGTACCTGAGACTGTGCAGTAGGAGCAAGATTTAGTACAAGGTCTGGGTTTGCAGCTAATTCCTGTCTGAAGCATGGGGGACATTCTGCCCTGGAAGTAGATGGATTCCAGTGGATTCCAGAGAGACAGGAAAGGCAAGCCTGTGGGTTTTCATGGATCTCTTGAAAGATTTCAATACCATCAACCACAGTATCATTCTCGAAAGATTGTCCAAATTGGGTAGAAAAAGCTTTGAAATGTCAGAACAACAACAACAAAACCTAGACTATGGTCAATCAGCCCAAAAGCTCATCACTGTTTCAGCTTTGAAATTGTTCCATTTATATCTGGTTGGCCAACTGCAGAAGGAAATGCTGGGGGATTTCTGTATGACATCTTGGTTCTTGCACTGTGGGAGTTTGCAAGGTTCCATTTTATCCTCCATGGTTTCAGTATCTAACAAAAACATTGAGTAAAATCATTCACAGATATAGAATAAAATATCATCACTATGCTGACACTTAACTCTATCTCTCCTTTTCATTTCCAGTCCAATTTAAAGTACCAGTTTAAGCCTATAAAGCCCTTCCTGGATTGCAATCACAATATCTGTAGAAATTGAATGGTTAGGAAGCAGTATTTTACCCATTCCTGTCAATACGTTACAATGTTTAACTGTCTCGGGTTAGAAGCCACTTGATTATAAACCACATCTCTTTTTTTAAATTTATTTTTCTCATTAAATTTAAGTATTCACTGCACTGTAGATGAAGAACAAAAACCCATCACTTTTCCAGTTTAACTGTACAGAAATGTGTGTGAAAAAAATCATGTGTTTTACTTCAGAAGTTACTTTAGTTAACAGGAAGTAGCATCCTGTCAAGGATTAGACAAATCAGTCCGTTTAGTTCTATGTCAATTGGGGATGAATTCAGGCATAAATCCATTCTGTGTAGTTTGTGCATCCATTTGTGGATTTTTTTAGCCACATGAAAATGTGCATATGTTTCAACATACAATTTTCTCTAAGTATTTCATATATAATTTTATACCACATCTATTCTTATATGTAACTTTTCAGTATGTAAATTAGAATAGATCATTTAAACATGCAAATCTATTTGAATTTTCTCCCAAATCTAGTTCTGGAAGGAAAGCTTGAAAAATGCCAATGCTGATGCCAAAAAAGTTAGAAATGTGATACTAGAAGCTTGAAATTTGAAATAGTCATCCAGCTCTGCTTCAGTTGATAGAGTAATATCTATATGTTTAGGATTCATTTCTTTTGGATTATTCCCACTTTAAAATAACCATAACCACAACCATACAAACCCAGAAGTTTGAGAGTGACTTTTTTGTTTGTAAACTGCCTTTTATAATCCAGCTGCTAGAATTAAATTAATCCAGCTGCTAGAATTAAATTAAATTAAATTAAATTAGCAGCTAATAACATCCTGCATTTGTTGATAGTTGATATTGATATTTGGAATAAAAAATGGTGAAGTCCTTTATTTACTAGTAGCTATTGGTCTGTTAACTAGGAATGATCATGGAAAGCATTTTTTCCTTACTCCTTAATAATGCTAACCATTAATATAGCATTTCAAAGTCATAATCCTATGATCTTTCATAACATCCCTGGGAATACAGACCACAACTATATTTGTTGCAGAGAGAAATTATCTAAAGTAATATAAAGCACTCTTGCACACTGCATTATTTGCAGTAATATGGCAAGCAATTGTGGCATTCTAACAGCAATTTTATTTATGAGTACAATAAAAATGTTTATACTTTTCCTACTATAAAATTCATTATTCCTTCCACAGGAGTTGGTCCTAAAGGTTTGAAGCCCCAGCAGAAAAATACTGTGGCTGTGCTGCTCCTCTACTATGTTTCCCAATAGCAAAGGAACCCAGAGGAAACCTGCAAAGTCTCACACAAATGTTATTTGTTAGGAACTAATACATTATCTAATAAAAGCAGGCCGTGTAAAAAAGCTTTTGATAGAGCAAGGACAAACAACCCGGTGCCCTTCGGATGTTTTGGCCTACAGTTCCACCACCTGAGTGCTAATTCTGATAGACAGGGAGGATATAAACTGAACAAGTACAAAAACCAGCCACCATATCAATACAAATTACATGAAGATTCAAATGCTAAAAACCAATTTTCATCTCTAGTAAATATTCGTATCACATTCAAATATATGTCATAGATATCTCTCATTAAAAATAAAAATAGAATCTCGGTGTTTTTCACAAAATTAGTATTCTGACCTGATCCCATAAAGTAGCAGCCTTTTTCTTTGTGTTATTGGCTTCAAGAAATGAACTTACAGAATTATTTGTATGCATAAAGTTACTAGATCAGGCTCAAAAATATATGGTTTGTTAATGATTTGGATGGCTAATTGGATAGCTTGAATAAATAAGCACCCAGTTTCAGCCAAACTTTGCCGTTTTATTTTCTGCAATGCATTTACACGAAAAGATTATTAATACATAATTCAGAGACATAAAGGTCTGTTGATAAATATTAGTTAAATGCTTTGTGTCTCTTACAGTTATAGGGTGGATAAAATTAAATATTACCACTAAGACTCAAATTATAAATACATATTAAACAAAATGAAGCTGTTGTTAAAAATCTTAATTTTGCTTAATATGCATTTATAATTTGATTTCCCCAGATTTATCCCCCACCACCCTTTTGGGTAGGGGGGTGCAGTTGTAGGAGTGGTCATTTAAGATCCCAAAAGATGATTTTTTTACTTGTTCCTCTATAAATCAAACTTCTAAAGTTCATAAAAATAGCTAAACTAAAAAATGATTTAATAGGAATGTTTTATGGTCCATAACATTATTATAGCTGCTTTATTCCCAGTGTGTTATTGCTTTAATTGGGTTGCTACAATTCTTGGGAATTTCTGTTTTTATTGGATCAAATATAATCCTAAATCAAAATGACAGAGAATGCCTTCAATATGTCTTTTCATTTCTCAGTTCTTTTCTTCAGGGACAGAACAGGCCAGGAGGGAAATATACCCTTCATTTTCCTTAGTCTTCTGACACTTCATGGCATTCCATATGTTCCTGCCAACACTTCATTATAAGATTTATAACTTTCATCATTTTCAGCTAACAGTACAATATGAATATGTTTTAGTACGGCATTTCCTTGCAATGTTCTGTCTGCTTACATGCCATTTTTCCCCTCCGTCAGGTCTCTGATCGCTCTGTGGTTGCCCTTGTTCCTAAACAGACTTCTTCTTATAATATTCCTGCTTCTGCCAGCATATCGCGGACCTCAATTAGCAGATATGGTAAGAATGAAAGTTGCATGATGTAAACGTAAAGGTTCTAATTATGTGACTCTCAAATTAATGCCCTAATCTGATCATTGTGTCCAGTGTCAAGTGGCTAGCAGGTTTATTAGAGTTTTTATTGGAGGCTTCTGAAATAATATCTTTTTATATGTACAGGGAGGCATTTTTTAACCACTGAGCTCCAAAACATCATGATAACTTCAGTGCACACAAGGAATTCTTCACATATAGTAGTTGCTGCTACCTCTTACCTGAATTATAAACTGTGATTGCGTTTATGAAGTGGGAATACCACCTGTGCATATATCAGAATCACTGACCTGGAGCAATTTCTCCTGAAATTGTCATTATCAGACAATAACACATTAAGTACACAGAGCTGTTATTTTTCCTCACTCAAAAATAAGTGGAGAGGACTGTTCCACCAGTTGACAGCTCAGGTAGTCAGAAAATTCCTCCTGACATCTAGCCTGAATCTACTTTCTTATAGTTTTAACCATTTGGTTCTGATCCTGCCTTCCTGTCATTTTTCCTTCTATGTGACAACCCTTCAGATATTTGAAGATTGCTATTGTACTTCCCTTCAGTTATCTCTTCTGTAGGCTAAACATATCCATCCTTTAGCCATTCCTCATGGGGCTTGGTTTCCAGACCCCTCAACATCTTGGTAACTCTCCTCTGAACTTGTTCCAATTCATTACTGTCCTTTTGTAAAGGTGGTGCCCAGAACTGGACACAGTATTCCAAATGTGCTCTGACCAGGGCAGATGAAAGTGGAAAAATTAATTCCTGTTATCGATGTCTCTTGTTGATGCATCCCAAGATAATACTTGCCTTTTTAGAAGCTGTCTCAGACTGCTGACTCATGTTTGACATGATCAGCAAGGACATCAATTGTTGTTGTTGTTCACATGTACTCCTGCCATGCCAATCTTCTCCCATCCGTACTTGTGCCTTGCATTCTTCCCACCCAAATGCAGAACTTTACATTTCGTCTTGTTAAATTCCATTCTATGCATTTCAGTCCACTGTTTGAGCCAATTTAGATCTTTTTGAATCTTTTTTCTTTTTCTTTCTTCTAAAGTATTAGCCATCCTTCCCCCCGACCCACACAAGCTTTGTATCATCTGCAAACTTGAAAAGATTAAGAAACCAGATTAAGTTGGTCAGAGTGAAAGAACTATTTGCTTGAAAATGAAAAAAGATCAAACAGGTGCAATGTGTATTTGATAGCCTTCACTATCCCGATTTTTCACATGGCAAGGCATTTCATGGACAATATGCCCTGTAGGTTGATGCATCTACTACATATTGTTAAGTATAGTAGCCAAGTATCTGTACCACAGTTCAGAAAGTTTTGGTTTTAGTCTTCTGTGGAAGGTAACCTCTGTTCTATGAATCAAGAATGACTGCATTCAGAAGATCAAATGCATAATAAAATGTTAAAAAATATTTCAACCAAAAATATTCTAAAAGTTGGATTAGCTTTCTGAAATATTGTGATTTGATAGTAATTTATTTTCTTGTAAACTGAAGTTGCATTCACAGTTGGAGAGCTATGGCAAAATCCAAAACATAACCAAGCCTGTCTTCCTTTGTGCTTTCCCAACCTCTTTTTCATCCCGCCCAGATTCCACATTTCGGTACACAGGTAGCCCAGATAGTCTTCGTTCAAGGGCACCCATGATTACTCCTGACCTAGAAAGTGGAGTGAAAGTCTGGCATTTAGTCAAAAACCATGACCATGGTGACCAGAAGGAAGGTGATCGGGGAAGTAAGATGGTATCAGAGATCTACTTGACACGGCTGCTAGCCACAAAGGTAATTCCAAGCCTTAGATCCTGTACCTCCTTTTCATCTGCTGAAAGTGGTAAACATTAGCCCTATACTGTCATGCTGATTTTGTCTTTTTGCATATAAGTAATAAAAATAACTTTTATTTTTTAAGTTAACAATAATTATAAACCCATCCTATAAGTGAGTGTATAGTGGAAGCTAAGTAAAACAGACAAAAGGGTTGTTTTTTTTTCTTAAATTGTCTTCATCCTAAAAAGAGAGGGATACTATCTCATATTCCATAGTCAATGGTTCTCTCTCCTCCCCCCCCCCAATCACATAACTTGTTAACTTTGCTACATCTCACATCCAGGGATATAAATTAATGGGGGCGACTTTGCAAACTGCACTGCTGTTCTGCATCAACTGAGGGTTTATGGTACAATATCCTCATATTTTGGTCTCTGCTTCCATCAGGGTACGCTGCAAAAGTTTGTGGATGACCTGTTCGAGACTTTGTTCAGTACTGTGCATCGAGGCAGCGCTCTCCCACTGGCTATCAAATATATGTTTGATTTCCTAGATGAGCAAGCAGATAAGCATAGCATCCACGATACTGATGTGAGGCATACCTGGAAGAGCAACTGGTGAGAGGGACACAATTTTATTTATTTATTTATTTACTTATTTACTTACAGTTTGTATACTTCTGAAAACTGTCCCTGAGCAGCACACATCATATTTACATAAATAAAGTTAAAAGTATAAAGTATAAAACACACACAGTAATATAATACAAAAATACAGCACTGGAAATAAATAGGATTCTACATTCATTAAGCTCCAAATTAGAGGAAGCAGCACAGTTCACAGTACTGCCACCTTCAAGGCCTAATGAAAAAGCCAGATTCTGATGGACTTTCCACTTTGTCAGGGTAGAACGTATCCAGATTTCTATTCCAAAGAGAGGGAAAGGGCAGCAATGAAAAAGGCACCTGAAGCCCCTGAAGATGGCAGTATGTAAGTGAATATACTTGAAGTGAAACACTTCTATAAGATCTTAATGGATGAGCAGAATCAGTTGGGAGAAGATGGTCTCCTAAATATCCAGATCCTACATCATGACTGATTTATGGAGAGGCTGGAAGAATCAATTCAATTTATTCTATTGAAGCCCTTATGGTCAAGATAGTATTTGGATAATTCAAGACAAATCTTCCTATGCTCATCCCATGACTGCTTATAGCTTGCTTTCTCAACATTAATGCACCAAGACATTTTGATTATTTATTATCCTTACTCTATACGAAATAAAATATGCTAGGTCTAAAATGAAAGTAATAACTCATATTTCATTTGAGAACTAACGTTAATGTATCCTGAGATTATTCTGGGACTCCTGAAACATCCATGTCCTTTTGACATGCTTTAACCCTAACCCTAATCCTACCTTTCTTTATTTTCTTCCTTTAATTTGATCTGCTCTTTTGATTGTAGAAGCCACCATCCATATGTAATCTTAGTCCTGCTTTGAGAAACTGTTCTCCAGTGTTTTTCAGTCTTGGGGATGTAATGACAATTTGTACCGATGGCAGCTTGCAGAAGTTTATAAAATACCACTGAGGATGTCCAAGGAGCAGAATCTCCCTTAAAGCAATTGCATTTCTTACTTAAAATTGTAACCTCCAAACATCTAAATGCGAAGCATCAGAGAAATTTAATTCAATTTAGGCACTACTCAACTGACTCTGGGCAGCGTACAATAAAACCAACAGAATAGAAAACACAGGATAATAGTGATAAAAGAAATAAGAAATAAATAAAAAACAAGAACTGAGCTAGCCAGTCCAGCTAGCCACATCCACACCCTCAAACAATCCAACCAGGGCCCCAAGCACCCTAACCCAAGGCCTGGGAGAACAGCCAGGTCTTTAAGGCTTTCCAGAATGCCATCAGGGTGGGAGCCACACAGATATCAGGTGCAACCTCATTCTAGAGGGCAGGTGTCATGACAGAGAAGACACATTTCCTGGGTCCCAATAGATGACATTGTTTAACTGAAGAGATCTGGAGCATGCCAGCCCTGTTCGGTTGAACCGAGCAGGCTGATACAATGGGAGATAGGTGGTCCCTCAAGTAATCAGGCCCTATATCATGTAGGGCTTTAAAAGTCATAACAGCAGCTTGAATCACACCTGGACGCATACCAATAACCAGTGCAACTCACAAAGCAGAGGTGTCACATGGTCATATGAAGGCACACTACCTAAACTGCTGCATTCTGGCCCAGTTGAAGCTCCTGAGTGGTCTTCAAGGGCAGCCCCATGTAGAGTGCATTTCAATAGTCAAGCTGTGAAATGACCAGGGCATAAATGACCAAACCAGTTACATCTGAATTTTGCTTGAGATAAACCAAGTTGAACTAAACTAAAGCAGAATCAGTGATGTGCTGATAAATTGCCCTTGCTACTGCTGCACCACATGACTAGCTGTAGTTACTAGGGAGTTGTGGTTCAGCTCAGCATTCAACCAGCTCACAAAAGTCCTGAAAATTTAATAATCACCTCTCACAAGCCAGTATTAGCCAGCTCCAGCACATCATTGGGCAGGATAGACCCCGCTGGATGTAACTGGGCATTCTTAATCACCCTGTACTGAAATAAGTTATTCAAATTCATAGTGTAAGAGAACAGGTCTCGACTAAGGAAAAGTGGATTCCAGAATTCCAGTTCTAGTATGAGATATTTCTAAACAGTTTTTCAAGCTTAACCCAAAAAAAAAGTGAAACAAAGATTTTTATTGCATCCAGTTCCCTTTCTAACCAGGCAGTTGCTGATGCTGTTATTGTTCTTTTTTTTTTCTGTTATTTTCTAGGTAGTCAGTTTACAGTTTAGTATCATCTGCTTTCTCCAGATAATAACACAAATTATATCTAGGCAGTCTTGTGCCAACTTTGAGTATAGCAAGTTTCTTTTACATGGCATGATCAATTTATAAAGAGAGTCTGAAAAACATCTACTAAGTGTTATGTTATATTACAGCTCATCATCCATGCTACTAAAGATACAGAAAATCTCTCTTGGGTAATAGGTATATTTTCCATTTTTGCTCTCTAATATAGCACTCACAAAATCTGACTGACTTGTAATGGTCTAAGATGATAATGGTTTACCTCATTTGATGCAACATTTACTCAGCAACTAGCCTGGAAAGGGGATAATAACTCAATTATAAATGACTTTTAAATACAAAGCAGACAGTCTCAGAGACTCAGTTCTGAGGTTCTCTGTATACTCTATGGGACACACATATTGTTCCTCTAAGTTGATGATCCTATCTGAGTGGCCTTCATGAATACTTTGTTCTTGACAGGGATAAATCCTAAGGCTTCAGAAAATGCACAAGATTTGCATTAAGCAGGTATAGAATAATTTGACCTCAAAGTCCCTTGCTATATAACCATTAATTTTCAAACCAAGGCTTGCAGTTGATTCATACCAGTTTCTCATTAATTATTCTGCACTTATTAATTATTCCATTAATTCAAAGTGTTATCGCATTTAAACATGATTGAATGATGTACTTTCAGACTGTAGAGTCATAAATGCAATCTTTATTACTTAAACAATGGAATAGGTCTAAAGAGAAAAGGCAGTGTTCAACTTGATTAGTGAAAAGAGGCATTAAGGCCTCCTTTTTACAGGAGTAGCTGTAAAAAGCCAACATTTAGGCAATATACACATATATTGAAAATAGAATTCAGCTAAATTTCTATTAATTTCATGAGCTATCCTTTTTATATCAGGTAGAACCCTTCTGCTGGCAGCTGTAAGGGGGAAGAGCAAGGATGAATACATTGCTTTCATAGTTTGTATTAAAGACAACCAATTTTCAGTTAGATGAGTCAAGAAGCTCTCTGTAGCTTGGTTTGGTCTTTCCAAATCCCTAAAGCCTTAAAAATAACTGAGATACCACAAGAATACCTTCTTTTGTATAATACTTTGTTTCTAGAACTTGAGCAGAGTAGAATTTACAAGGTGCTATCAGTAATGCAATAACTAAAGAAGCAGAACCCAGATAGAGAATGTGGCTATTTGTATCAGCTTTCAATCGAATAGCTATATATAAATTACATTTAGGTATCTATTTCCCAAATGTTTTTTGAGGATGTCTAGTCAAGATATTGTATATAAACTTGTGCTCCAGCCAAGTATATCTTCAAAGCAGCAGTTTGTATTCTGTATTTTTATAACAATTGCTGCTTTTGCATCTTTCTCTTGGCTGTTACTTTAGGATTAAAAGTTCCCTGGGTTAGAAATTGACTGTGCATAGAGGATAAACGCTCATAAAAATGGCAACCAGATGTGTGTGTATAAATCACACATGTAAATCCCTTGTGGCTTAAAAAGCCTCTAATCATCTGGACTGCCAAAGTCAAATTCCCTGCTAAGGCTGTAGGGAGCTAAAAACAATTTAGGAGAAGCTTTAGGGAATGAGTTTTTAGGATAAAATGTTGGAATCTTGAATAAAATGACAGTTAGAGCTAACAAGTGGCACTGATGAGCACAGATTTCCCTTCTACCTCCATGGCTGCCAGACAACAGAGGCCTTTAATACAGAGAACTTCCCAACCATTGTCAGTTTCTATGTGTATCAGCTGAAAAATAATCCAGGCTGAAGAAAGAGAGACTTTACTTCCAACCAAGCATTTAAATCTTTTCTTTTGAACTATGACTATACAGGTTCATAAAGTTGTTGTACCATGAATCAGATAATTGGGCAAACATCTTTGCTAGCACTTTAAACTAGGATTGCTTTGGGTAGGATCCAAATCAATTTCATTAAACTCAGTTCTTGTTGAGATACTGGACTTAAGATAACTCTTAACTTGTTTTCAATGGTCTTAAATTCAGCTATTGATATCTGTAAGCTATCCTTTAACTGGAAATGCCAGTGGTTAAACCTAAGGAATTAATACATCTCTGTTTCCATACCACTTATATTTTGATTCAATTTTTCAGTTAATATGCAAAAGTTATAGTTGTTTTAAAATATATTTTTAAATATTTTAAAATGTATTAACCTATATATGGCCATTCCATATCTTTTATATTCAACTCCTCATATTTATGAAATATCAAATATGATTGTGATCATCTCCAGTGAAAGTTGAGACCTCCCTGCATTCAACGAACTTAAAAGATAAATGCTACATTTCCTAAATTGGAAAGCTGGTTAATATAAAGCAGTTTTGTGAGGTGGGGGCAAGAGTAGGAACATTCCCTCTTTTTGCCAGTCTTGGGCAGGTGAGGAATGAGAAAAGGAAAGTTCTGCCTACATCTATATATAATTTTATTTTTTATATATCAAAATATATATGATATATTTATATATCAGCAACCATTTGCCCCTGTGCAACAGCATTTATTCTTTCAAAAGATAGCTTGTGTTCTCTTTCTCTTTTTCTCCTTTCTGCAAAACATTTTTTTTTCTCTGTACTGCCACTGGATGGACAAAAATAACATATTGAAGCCCCATAGAGAATAAGGTGTTTTGCTGGCAACTGAAGGTCAGGCAGGGCTAATGTTGAATGAGAACAAGTGTAATAATTTGTTGGGAATTACACACTTCTGCAGAATAGAGAAATGCTCACTGGACACAATCCAGTAAGTAAGTTTGCACAGCAGAAGAATCTAGCTAGCACTGGGTAGACACTCATGGCAGTTCATCTAACCACAATATACTTTATTGTTTTATTGAGTCTAGAAGCCTTTCCATATACTTGAAAGGTAACAGAAAGATACAGCGTGTTGTTTTTTTTTACTTTGTTACAAAAAAGATGAATCATGGTTCAGTTTTGATTTCTGATACCTGATTTTAAAAGACCAATTTCAAGAAGTTTGAAGTTAAAAGACCAATTTCAAGAAGTTTTCAAGAAGTTTTCCTTTGCTTTTTGGACAGAAAGACATGGCAGAGCACTAAGAAAATAGCTGTAAGTAGGCTAAGACTTTCATTGTACAAACAGACAGGTGCCCATTTGCCACATGGATTATAAGAAAGCTCTTCAAGGAGTTTGCCTAATTTTTTTCTCAGTGTTACCTCTGGCCATCCACACATTAAAAAGAAATCTGTCTGCAATCAAGTACTAGGGAAATAAGGCACTGCCCCAAAGGTAACAGTCTGAATGAAACACCCTGCATAAGAGTCAAGCGGCCAGCCAGGTTTCTTCAAGATGTATAGTGCTGATTACATGTTTTGTAACTCTCATATTCACACAGTGGAACAGTTCACTTCAGTACAAAGGAAATCCAGATCCAAAATCTCTTTGGATAAGCACATGGTTTAGTTTGTACCTGATCTAAACTGTCTATTAAAAAAAAAAGTATTACTGTTTTTCAGGTTGTAAATATACCAGTGCAATGTGGGATATAAATTCTAAAAATAAATACAATTAGGAACAGCACACTTTTTCGCAATCCCAATTTATGATGAAAAACTGGACACAGACAGCACCCTGAGCTCTCAGATCAACCCATAGGGGAAACAGGCTGCAGCATTTCTTTCTTCTTGAATACTCATATTCTGTTACCTGCCAGCAGCTGATGTATTAGCAGAAGAGGGATGGTGTAGGAACCTCCATATTCAGCTGTGTGAAAAGATATTTGCCTACTTCCTTTGCCATTGTATGTTATCTTAGTTCACTAATATATAAAAGAAGTCTGAGGGAATAGAGAACATAAATGTTTGGTGCTTGATTCATTTATTTCATAAACAAAAACATCCAATATATGATATGCCAGTGTGGAAAAATAATTCCCCTCTAGTTCAGTCAATTCAGTTGAAGAGCTAACTAGGGTCAATTATGTGAGTACTTCATTAAACAATCAACTCTGAGCTGGGTGAATCTTCCCTTATATACATCTCACAGACATCACAGGGAAGTTGATTCTAGAGATACTTCAGGCCTTGTTCAAAAGAAATTTCTGAAGCCCTCTGTAAAAATGTCATGTATGCTTATCAAACTGGAAAAGATTGCAAAAGCATTTCCAAAGCTCTGGGGCTGTACCAAACCACAGTCAGAGATGTCTTGAAACAGAGAAGATTTGGAATAATGGAGAATCTTCCCAAGAGTGACTATTCTGTGAAAATCATGTCAGGAAATCATTAAAAAAAAAAAGAAAAAAAAAGCCCAAGATCCAGAGATCTGCAGGCCTCTGCTGCCTCAGTGTTTATCCAAAAAAGCCCTCACTGGGTAAAAATGAGATTGATAGGAGAATAGTAAGGTAGAACTCATTGCTTATTAAGAATGTTGATGTTCATGTCAAATTGCCTCCAAAGCACCAGAATCTCTGAAGCTTCCAGACTTCCATAGGGATGTTCTACAGACAGATAAATTAAAACTGAAACTTTTGGAGCTAACAAGATAGTTAATAAACCAAACATTACACTCCACAATAAGAATGGTGAAGAATGGAGATGGTGGTGCCCTAATTTGGGGATGCTTTCCTGCCTCGGACTTGGACAATTGTCC